TACACAACAACAAAAATTACCGAAGCTTTGACCCCTTTCTATGTATACATATATACAGATTTTTRCGCTTTSAAATCGCGTAGAATATATATAKTTTTTTAAATTATTTTAGGGTTAATCAAACTGGTTAAAAAGGTAACGTAATCGTAAAAAAAGTTATTAGAAAAWGAAAAGAACAAACGAGTTTAGTTAATATTTGCACCTTAGTACATACCTCGGCGTCGGGTTGCGAACGATCCGAATCGTCGTTGTCCAAATTCTGATTCTCCAGATGCTCCTCTTCGGTTTGTGGCATTTGTTGTAGCTCTTCTTTGGATTTGAAATCCAAATGTCTGATATAAAAGGGTATCAAAAGACCTAAGATGACCTGGAAAGAGAAAAAATAAATAATTTTGGAAAATTTATTGTTTGTATGAAGAGGTATCAGATATGTTATATAAATAATATTAACCCTCTTAGTTAACAGGACGGCACTTTACCCTCAACGTCCAGCCGGCACCTACAGCTAGTGCAATAGCCAAGAGGCACTTAGTGGTGCTAGTCATTGCCAGCAGTAACTTCCTTGGCAAAACACTCAAGAGAAGTAGAAAACGGTAGAGCTGAAGCTGCTGCATGTACTCTTCGCAAGATTAGATGGAGACACGCATATGTCAACGCTCGACAGAGTAAACTGGCTTAATGGAGTCAAATGCAAAATAAAAAAATTACTTCACACTGCTATGGGTAAAATTACAGATTGCGAGGAAGATGCCGTCTGGGAAATACTGGACCGTAGTTGCATTCCGTCTATTCCGAAGGTGAAGGTACGGTAAAACCAGAAGACACACTGTGGCTTCGTAAGAGACAAAATTCTAATGTACCGACGGAAGATTGTAAATTGCTAAAGGCCACCAACTTAGACAAAGAGGGTAGCATCAAAGCTACCTACATATATCAAAATAAGGAAGTCGGCAGTGGTATGTCCTCGAAATATTATAAGTTCGGAAAAATGGCGGGTACCTTAGTCTCAAAAGGTCGACTGAATCTCCGGTCCTCTCTTACCAGCGGTTTGTAGCTTTAAGGTAGTCTCTGGATATCTCCTAAATACTTCTCCACCTTTCGCTGCGCCAGCTATTCTAAAGGTCAGCTTAAAGCCACAAGACGGAGTTAAGATAGAACCGAATATTCAACCTGCCACCGAGAAGAAACCCGAACTAATAAGATTGGTGTTCAACGGGATTGAGTTAACAATTAACGAGCACACTAACTACCTGGGAGTAATTTTGCAGATGCATATGCAAGCCGATTCGGAGACCTGTATACACGTGAGAACTTGACTCTTCAGCATTAGAGTTACACAGCTATAGTCAAGTCAATCTTGCTTTAAAGTGCTTTGATTTGGTGGACCGCTGTTACAAGCGGGTGGATGGTCTCTGTATAACCAGGGCCCTAAAAACGACTCCCCGGGTTGTACTAGAAGCTTACTCATCCTACGAGTACGAAGGTGTATTCTCTACAGGTATAGACAGTAAGCAGGAGATTGTTGGATGATATACTACTACGCTTTATTGGGGGATAGATGGCGCAGGAGCATGCAACTCGCCAGCGGAACTTACGACTTCTTCCCATGCGGATCAAAATGGCTAATGATYCCGGAATACTGCAGTAGCTTCTAGACGGAAGTTTTTGCAGACAGGAAAGCGACACATAGCCAAGCGGTCATTATAGAAATAATCTCTTATTACGTTCGAAAATGTTCTTAGAAGTAGGGAGACGGTAGATGTACATATAGTGGCTGCCGCAAAGAGGCTGCATATAGACTGGGTTCCAAGCTACAAAGGAATGCCGGGAATTGAAATAGTTGGTGAGATAGCCATAAGAGCTAACCGTCTGGCTACCTAAACAATAAAAACTGCAGAGGGATTTACAAACGTATCAGGATGAGGTGGAATGCACACACAGTGTAAAAAGGATTAAAGGACAGTTGTTGGCTTGGTGACAGGTCAAGCGAGCCGGATCGACATTAGTAACGCCCGTTCCCACGATAGTCGGGTCTACGAAAACCGGAACGGACCCGAATTTTTTATTCGACCAAGAACTGTCAAGTCGTTACAACAACAACAACAACATTAGTAACGCCGATATTTGCCCAAAATGCAGAGAAGTAGGCATGAGAGAGACGCTGGCCCACCTTCAATGATTCTGTCTAGATTTACCTGGCATTCATTGTAGATATCTAAAAGCTTAGTAATTCTACGGACTAGATGGAGTATAAAAATTACATAGCAAGTCGCTCCTAAAGTTCGCAAAACACTTGTATGTCCTAGATGACGAATACTTAACTAAACAACTAATCCTCCACTAATCCATGGCATTACATTTGGCCAGTATATATAATAACTCTGAATTACGCTCTCTTTATGACTGAAAAGGTTTTGTTATGTGGTTTTACAACGGAACTCGAGATATCAAGCTTCCATTTCTACAAAATTAAGGAAGTATTTTTTATTTTAAAGTATATAGTACATAATTTAATTTATTTACGTAGTTTGAATGATAATACTCCTATCTTAATATTACTTTAAGAACAACAATTTAATAAAAAAAAAAAAAAAATAATAATAATATTTATTATCTATTAAAATTTCACCTTAATATTTGTATTTTTGCGCGTTCGCAAGCCGCCCATCCACAAATCGGCCAGTATGACTTGACTGCTCGGATGCGCCAAGAGTGCACGATGATTGGCGGCCACCGCCAGCGAAAGGCAACTTTGGTTCGACCAAGAGTGTAGCTCACAAGTGAGTAGTCGTTGAGCCTTCTCCCCATCAGTGCGATAGCTGAAGTCCAATAGTTTAATACCTGGAAAGCAAAGTTAGGAAGATAGTGTTATTCACAAATAAGAAAAATGAGAACTCTTCAAAGCACGTAGAGATCAACAAAAACTTTGGTACCACTAAAGCCACTTGAGGTGACATATTGCTGTAATTTTCAATCGTTTTAAACGGATGCCTACGATCTTCGTACTCACATTAGCAATCAGCTGCGACAAATGTAGGGAAAGACCTTTCTCTCTATCAAACACTCAGGCCTACAAGCACGTACCTTTGCTTTCGAATTCCTTCGCATATGCACGCAATTCATCATAGATTTCCGTGTCTAAATCATCCTCGGCGGCCTCGTGTGCCATRGCCTTGTACAGTTTACAGGCCACCAGGGATTTTGCCAAAGCCTCCTCGCCGTGCGTCCACATAAGCAACGCCATTTGTTGACGCTTCGTAAGCACAGCCCAAATCTGAAAGGGAAAATGCGGAGAATTCCAAAGGTTAAAAGCATATTTTATAAATAATAATATAATGCATTCTATAAGTCATTATATACGTAGTCATAATAGTATAGAAGACGCTTTAGAAAACGTTCAAGTGCGTATGACTTGAGTGCGACGGCATTCAAACTCCTTTATATACTTTTGCAGTTATATAATATTATTTGGCCATCTAATTTATGATGCTTGAAATTATTACCGTTAGTAGCACCGTTTTCAGCAAATTTCACGCACTCAAGTCATTTGCTCGCCTTTCATGCCGTCGCTCGTCGTCGTACTTACCAACAATTCGTTGAAAGGAAATTCGAAAAGTGCCATTTCCGTTGTGAATGGCAGCAATCCGGTGACCAAACTTAAGGAATTTGCGCCCGCATAACGTTGATATGTTGAGGATTTGCGGTGTGCATTGGCATAACTGTTCATTACTTTTGCGTAGATCGGACGAAATTTTCGGCGTGTATAATATGAGCTGGAGAGAGGAAGGGAAGATAATGTGAATTAAAGTATTTGACCTCTAACTATAATATAATATATGAAATATAATAGCTATTATTATAACAAAGGTAATATATTATTGGTAAGGTTGAGCTCAGTCTACTACCGGGGTCACAGCTGGCGGCTAGTGGAAGGCCTGGGCTAAGTAAATTAGCTACGAATAGTGATACACAGCCGATCAAGAACTGCAGGAGAGGAAGGCTTGAATCAAAACGCCTCATGCGACCAATGAATCTCAGACAAAGAAGCGAAAAGCGTTCACAACTCCCACGGGGGTTGCAGCGAGGAAGTCCAGGGAGAACATACCTATGAGAGGGAGGTAACAAAGCGTCGAGGGAACAATACAGCGAGCAACACCAAAAGAGCACAGACGGCAACGCAAACCCTGAGTCTACACTCATCAGAATCGAGGCCGGTAAGATTCTGCTTATGGAGGACTGAAAACCCGGAACTGAGTAGTTTGGCAAAGGACTGGTGAGAACAGTATTCTATCATCTCAGAAGATAAGAGTGATATCTTATCGAAATGGCTGGCATGCCAATACTGTTCCCACCTCCGTCTCGTTAAAACCTGGCAGGTCCACAAGTACGTTCTATGCATRTCGCCATCMTTTTYTTTGKCCGTACAGGTTCATTTGAGACGAGCTCCTGAATCGTGCCCGAACCTAGATCTGAACATAATCTACCATAAGGACTTGTGTCAACCCTGCATGGCCTCCGTTCTTGTATAGAACTACGAGATTCATAAAGGGCAACAGTTACAATGTGCGGAGATAGCGGCCTGATACTGAAATCAATTCGTACGAAAATTAGTACACCGCGACAACAGAATGATCTTAAAAATTACAGAAACAGGAGTACATTATTCAAATGAGATGGGCAGAAAAGAAATTCTTAGAAAAATGCAAGGGTGTCGTGCAAATTATGAAGACGGTGATGGCGAAACAAACGAACGTCAGTATGGATGTTAAGAACCGAGCGGCACAGCTGGATAAACTCTTCGACGTATGAAGATTTACCGCAGAAACTGGCTCATCGCAGAAAGTGCGAAAAGACGGGACATCGTCGGCTTCGGCTCCACTTTGCCACCATATTTGGCGATTGATCGTCTATTTCCGGGTTGTAAGCATACTATACGTCCAAGACTCATCACTAATAATAATACGTTTCATGATTTACTGTTAGTCTTAAAGCATTGTTTCACAGACCTTAACGCGACGGTGTTTTTCGAAAAAATTTAGTGACTTTGCAACTAATCCTGCTGCTGCTAGAAATAAAGGGTCTAAACATCGTGAACTTGCGGCTAATTACGCTGCCTTACTATCGGAGGTGATAATCACTACTCTTATACAGGCTGCACTCCGGAGCAAATTATCTACTACTACTTTTATGGAAGGTACATCCGTTTGTAAGACGCTGCAGTGGTTAAGAGCTGGAGCTGAAGGAAAGATGTAGACAGTGTTCACCGCCCCTCTCCTCCAGCAAGTCCTTGCTACACATGTCTCCCTCAAAGGTACTCGTATGTGAGCAGAGGGCTGGCTCGGCTACTCGCATACCAAGTATTTGGAAAGTGTGCGAGTGTTTCCAAGTTCCCAGCCGCGCAGTCATTGAAGTACTCAGATGCTTTGAGTCCAAAGGCAGCTTTCGCAGCCATACAACATGCAGCTAATAAGCTCCTCGTTTGTCGAAGCCGCCGATATCAGATCACAATAGGATATAGTCATATGAACTGATCTGATGCTAAAGAGCTTTCAAGCTCTACCCAGTGTCCTATGATTGCAATACGTTCGAATTAATTTGGTTTTGTTTATTTACATAACAACGGTAAAATCTAAACTTAACCTCAAATTTGAGGAAAAAGTGAGCRATCAATTTAAAGTCCAACATAAGCTTTAAATAAATACAAGTAGTTCTCCCCTACTAATCTTTCCACAAAGCGGACATATACTCGTGTATGTATGTGTGCATTCGTAAACTGTTGCTGTCGCACAAAGCCCGAGAGATAAGTAAATACGCACAATAATTGAAGTCAAACAAGGAAAACGCATGGAGGGAAGGGCAACACAATAGCCATTCAAGCGCAACAATGCCGGCCTACTCATAAAGCAGAGAGCAAACGTACAACAAACGCTTAAACGACAATGAATCATGAAGAGGGTCAGCTCACTCGTTGTTGTTGCAACGCGCACTGATTGCCGGAGCAATGAGCAAAATCAACAAACGATTTTATTTGCAAGGTCCACAATTATTGATTTAAGCTTTTATCGAGCATTTAAACGCTTTTAACCCAATCGCTGCTTTGCATAGTCGCCTTAAGCGTAATATGGCAACACTTCCATATTCCGTTTCTGGTTAGATTGCGAGTTGGGGATATGCTTGGTGTTCAGCAGTGGTTTGTGTAAATATTCGGAAAGTGAAATATCGTAGAAAATTGATTTTGTGTAGCCAGAAGCTATATGTGGCATCCCACATTTGCGTAAATAGTTGTTTGTTTTAAATACAACAGCGTTTGACGAACATTTATAATGCGTGACACTGAAAGGCTTAAAAGATTTAATTGTTCAGTTAAGTTAAAGAATTGGAAGTAAACTTGGCGAATTCGATTGTGGCTGTGGCGTATTCGGCGTATATCTATTACTAGGTGTATGAAGAAAGCGAAACGATTGGAGGTACTCAACATATAATTAAATAAAMTACCAAATGCTAAACGAATTAAATCTTAATGGATTCAAGTTTCCGTCGCCTAGTCAAATTGACCACCTTGACACACTTATAAATCTCATTATGTTAAGCTCAATGCAGTGTATCACTCTTGAAGGGAACTATGYTGAATAAAAAAAAATAAATAAAAAAATGAGTTTTACTGTAACCTATTATTTATGTGATAAATTTGCGATGAAGTACTATATGTGGAACTAAAAATAAATGTATGGAATACTTTTATCTGAAAGTGTGAACAATTCTTGTGATTTACTTAATATGAAAATGAATTGAACTGTTGATAATGATTTTATATACTTTTTCACTTCGTCTTTTTGTGAAGATCAAACATCTTTAATTGTATATATTAGTTCTGGTTTTCTTCAAAATAGAGTTCAAGCTTTACTCGCTTCTATGTAAGTATACAATGTGTTGAATTCGCTGGAAGCTTAATGCCATTTTTTATAGTCTTTGTTTAAAAATCTTTCGATTTTGTAAACATTTTTGAGGCAATTATACGTGCTGTTTTAATGTTTCTTGGGTAGGCGCAAGTATTAGGAAAGAATGTGTCAAACATATTGATAAACATAAGAAAAGTGTCTTAAATCACAAATCTGATTATTTCATACAAGAAAATATTCGGACAATCCAAAGAAGATAAATGACTTGGGTCTGAAATCTTGCACACCCGCAAAAAATCCTCTTCTTTATGCGAAAATTAATGTATGTGCACAAGAAAAAATTGATCGAACGTATAACGTTATAAAACTTATGTTTATTACACGCTTTCAGAAATATTTATACAAGTTGTAGTTTATATATAGATTTATACGAATTSAAGGTATAATAKTCAGGACTCTTTTTATAAGCGAGTAATCGTAATTTAGACTTAACATCCTTCATAGGCGCTTGCACAGAATCYTTCTTGAAGTCTTTAGTGACGTTTCGCCACTTATTCCTAAATTGCCTCTCATTTTTCGCTTTAATAATAGCCCAATAAGTCTGAATCGGAATGAGCTCTGGGCAATTCGGAGGGTTCACCTCTTTGGGAACTACACCCACCACATTCAGGGGTTTTGTGGAATCTGATAGTTGTCGGAATCAAAATTGAAACCGATAAAAAAAAAGCAGTAGGTGTCATGAATTCGGATATTATTGGTTTGATATTCGAAACAGAATTTGTATCGGTTTTGGGTGTCACGGAAACCAATTTTATCGGTTTTGCTGTCAGAAACAAATCAAGAAGATAGTCGCACACAGATTTGAAATTTAAGTTAAGAAATCAAGTTATTTTATTGTTACGAATTAATTTACTTTTATTTCTATAGGAGAAAACATAAGAATAAAACAAGAAATGTCTAATTATTGAGTTTTGGAAAAAATGGTGTTTTAGGGGAGAGCCTGCTTTAGAAGCTTAAAAAATATTATTTTGTTGAGGTTTTTTTTTTGTTTTTTTTTTTTGTTTTTGGGAGGGGAAATAAATAATTGATTAAAGCGAAATTTCTTGGGTTTATAGTTATATATTTAAACATCATCCGCACATATTTTTGATACGAAATCTTTTACATTTTGCCTTTGGGATGCAATTGTCAGATGCTTCTCGCATGTGCATATGCCAGAGCGGGCAGGATGCAGGTCGAGATTTCTATTGTAAACAAA